CTATTATAAATCACTCTTGTGCATAATAAAACAGGAAATAAGTTGGCTAAGGTATTTCTAGAACTTCTTCTCCTTCCAAATCTGACTCCTCTCTCTGACTCAGAGTTGACAATGACCATCTTTTTTCACACATTGTCATTCTCTGTGGCATCAAGAGTGTTGGTGATGAAGCATTTCTCGAATTCATATAATAACCAGGTGTCATATGTGCTGGGCTGTTAAGCGTGCTTTACAATGTTGTGAATTCAGCTTACTTTTGACTCCTATATCACAAAAGCTGCCAGACATGTCTGATTCACCACTTCCTCCACAACCACTGGATTCTTATGGGTTAAGAACATGCTTTGTGATTGTTTTAGGATTTTTTTTTCCCAAGCTATTGATACACGTTCTGCAAGTTTTGATGCTGGAACTTTTGATCTTTTCACGGGAATAGCAACCTTATCACGGCTTCCATGTGGCCAACAGCAAATGCAAGATGCCATGAATTTAAGATACATCCCAATTTCAGAGATTTTAAGTTAGGGAAGAAAAAGTGTCACAGAATTTTTTAAAATATGGTTGTAGGTTCGTTCTCAATCAATATTTGTTAAATGAATGAGCAGATGAATTCCTGTTCCCAGTCTGTGATTGAAAAACACTTTGACTTCCTAAGGAAAAGGCCTTCAGACTTTGAGGATCATAGAACTGCAATAAAGCTAACGTGCCAGTACTGGTCAGGGTGCTCTTGTTTGCAAGGAACAGAAAACCCAATCAAAATGGCCTAAACAATAAGGAAAGCTATAGTAGTTCACTAACAAGAAATCCTGAAGTTGAACAGTTCTATGGTTGATTAATTCAGTGACTCAACAATTCAATAGGATCCAAGGCTCCTTGCCAGCTTTCTGCTTGGCCATCCTAGACATGCTGGCTTGGTTCTCAGGCTAGTTGCCCTCAAGTCACAAGTTGGATATTTGGTTCTAGTGTAATATTCAGACATAAAATAGACAGTGGAGGTAAAAGGATTCTATCTTCCCTATGACTCTTTTTTAAACTGAGAAAACCTGTCCCAGAAGTCTTCCAGCAGACTTCTCACCTCATTGGCCAGCCTGGGTCACATGCCCACCCTTAAAGAAATCTCTGACCTTTCTAGGGCTAGTGACCTAAAGGTACAGGTCCCCTGCTCTAGACAGCCACATGCAGGAAGCTATCTCCCAGGAGAGGGAAAGCATGCAAGGTCTTTAAGAGGAAAAACTCTGACTCTGCTATATTGGACTAACCAAACTTCCAAAAAAGAAGAATTCTCTCAAGACCATCAGTTATCAAACAGCTGAGTCAATTCCTTAAGAACTCATGATAGAACATCTCTGAGTGGACATTCTTGGAGCCTAGAACACAGAGGAGTTCAATATATTTATTGAATGAATGAGTGAATGAATGAATGAAAGAATGGAGGAAAATCACATTAAAAATTTACAATTTTTTCAAGGGGATGCTAGAAAGAACACTGGCCTTGAGCTTACATACCTGAACTTCCACTTACAAGCTGTGTGACTTTGGACAAATCTCTTAACCTCTGTGGGTTCCATTTAATTAATTCATTTATTTACTTTTGGAGACAAGGTCTTGCTGTGTTGCCCAGGCTGGTTTTGAACTCCTGAGTTCAAGCGATCCTCCCACCTCAGCCTCATGAGTAGCTAGGATTACAGGGGTGAGTCATTGCACTAGCTGTCTGTGGGTTCCACTTTTTCTTTCTTTTTTTCTTTTGACACAGGGTCGCCCTGTGTCACCCAGGCTGGAGTGCAGTTACATGATCATAGTTCACTGCAGCCCTGAACTCCTGGCCTCAAGAGATCCTCCCACCTCAGTCTCCCAAGTAGCTGGGATTACAGATGCACACCATCATGCTCAACTAATTTTTTAATTTTTTTTTTTTTTTTTTAGAGATAGGGTCTTTTTATTTTTCGTAGAGATGGGGGTCTCGCCATGTTGCCCAGGCTGGCCTTGAACTCCTGTTTTCAAGTGATCCTCCCACCTCAGCTTCCCAGAGTGCCTGGATTACAGGTGTGAGCCACCGCACCCAGCCCCCATTTTTTTCTATAAATCAAGGAAAGAGATGTTGTGAATACAGAAAAAAGAAATTAATGTGAAAGTGCATGGTATATAATGGACTCAATAAGTGATGGGGGAAGCAGAGTTCTTTGTTTCATGTCTTACAGGAGAGAACAGCGGAGAGATTCAACACCAATAGTGCAGAACCTCCGCAGCTCACAAAGCCACCCTTGCCAGGAGCCTCAGCTCGCTTTCCCACTGGAACGTGCAGGCCGGCACAGAGCGTGCTGCCATCTGCTGGCGAGAAGGAAGAAGTGAACACGAAGCACACCTTAGCGCCAGGCCGGACTAGGAGAAACCTGGCAAGAGGGAAGGAAGGGTCGGGTTCCAGTTTCCCCTCAGCTGTGACCCTCCTGTCCTTCAAGACATCGGGGCTCTCCCCATTGGCCAACAATTTGTCAGAATAGCAGGATTACAATCAGGTTTTCTTCTTAAAAGTAAGTGATATTATTCAGTTTTGTTGTTGGTTTTTTTTTTTTTTTTTTTTTGAGACAGGGTCTCACTTTGTTGCCCAGGCTAGAGTGAGTGTCGTGGCATCAGCCTAGCTCACAGTAACCTCAAACTCCTGGGCTCGAGCAATCCTCCTGCCTCAGCCTCCCGAGTAGCTGGGACTACAGGCATGCGCCACCATGCCTGGCTAATTTTTTCTATATATATTATTTGGCCAATTAATTTCTTTCTATTTATAGTAGAGATGGGGTCTCACTCTTGCTCAGGTTGGTTTCGAAATCCTGACCTCGAGCAATCTGCCCGCCTCTGCCTCCCAGAGTGCTAGGATTACAGACGTGAGCCACCGCGCCTGGCCTTTATTCAGTTTTTAAAAGAACGACATGGGTGAACCCTGACGACATGTCACATAAGCCAGTCACAAAAAAGACAAATACTGAATAATTCCACTTATGTGAAGTATCCAAAGTAGTCAAATTCATGGAAACAGAAAGTAGGATGGCGGTTGCCAGGGGTTAGGGGGAGGGAATGGGGAGCTAGTGTTTAGTGGGTACAGAGTTTGAGTTTTGCAAGATGAAAAAGGTCTGGAGATTGGTTGCACAGCAATGTGAATGTATTTCACAGTACTGAACTGTATACTTAGAAATGGTTAAGATGGCAAATGCTATGTTTTATGTATTTCACAATAAAAAAAAAACCCAGTAAGCAATAGGGATAAGCACATGGCAGGTGCTTGAACTCACACAACAGAATCACAATAAACATGCGTTGAATGAAGATGGAAAGAAGTGGTGCTGGCCGATGGCCTCAGATGCCAGGTTGAACATGACAATGAACATCTTCCATTTACTAGGAAAGCCTTCCAAGCAACCATGACTAGTCAAAATCACCTTTTCCTTGAGGTGATAAGTTATCTTTCCTGTTCTCATCTTAAAGCCAAAATTTCCTGTTTTTAAAGAAAATGCTGAGGGTGGCATGACGCTGAGTTCCACCTCAGCCAGAACCTGACCTTGTATGTTCTTGCACACTGGTGACAGTGACAGCCCACTTTCAATTGATTCCAGGGCTGCAAGGTCCCAGATCACAGAACTCAAAACCACAAGCGCTCTGAGCAGCCTTGTGAGATCGAAGAGACTTCTCTCCCACCTAATAACAATGTATAAATACATATTATAAAACATTTCAAATGGTGACCTTTCCAAAGCCACAGGGCCAGCAAGTGGCAAAGCAGAGGCCTGGCCTTTGCCATCAGAGCCCCCCGAACGCCACCCTCCCAGAGCTGCTGGCATAGTGTGTGACAAGCTCCTCTCCTTGGTGTCTTGTCAATGGGGTCACTACTCTGCAAGAGGGAAGGGTCTTCTTTTGGACACTCCAGAGCCCATCAGCCGTAGTTTTGCCAGCATAACAGGGGCAGGTTGAGCTCATCCTAGCAGGACTCTCAGCCCAGAGGCAGGTGTCAGATCCTCCAGGGGAAGAAAAGCAGAGTACAAAGAAAGCAGAGTGCAAACACATGGCTCAGCAGCTTTTCCTCCAGGAGTCAAAGCCACAGTTTCTGGCTTTGGAGAGACCTTGCAGAGGCCTGGGGGTCTGCGAAGCTTCATCAAGGCTGACTGCAGAAGCACAAGGTTCCATGGGACTGCTGAGCTTCATCTGAGGGGTCCAGGGCAGCCTTTTTGTCCAGTGGGTTTAATTACCTTCCTGTTAGATCAAAGCTGACACACCCCTAGGCTGGCTCCCTGTGGGAGGACAAGTCTTTTTCCATTATTGTCACTCATTGTGGGCTCCAAACCAGACAGCCCAGGCCATGTTGACCTGGGTGGGATTGGAATGGGTTGGGGGAGAAGTGCATCCTCCAAAGATGAATAGAGAGGTGTGTCCTTCACAGGGGCGGGCAGCTGGGGAGTGGGTTAGAAGCCAAGTGTTCCCCAGGTCTCCTGCCTCGTCCATGAACGTTCCCCTGGGGGGCAGGGGGTAGGGTGGGGGAAGCACACAGACCAAACAAGAGGAGAATCCAGTCACCACCATGTCTCACTAATTTCTGACTCTCCTTTATGTGACTACTGAACAAAAGCACACACCTCTCCTTAGCAGAGCAGGTAAACTGTCCGTTTCTGGTAGGGACACTGAGACTAACAGGTCATAAAATTAGGTGTCTTTTGTCTCCCTGAGGCTATTCCCACTGGCACAGTCGGCTCTGTCCCTTTGGTCTGTGCTCCAAGCAAAAGAAAATTCAGCTGATCGCACTTGTTACACAGGGACGACCAGGACCTCAGGGTGGGAACACAGGTTTTTCAGTTAATTATTAAGAAGCCACTCACAGGAGGAACAGCAGCGGGAGCACTTCCTCATGTGCAGAGAAATGTGCGGCAGTGTGCCATGGAGACAGTAAAAAAGGTGAGTCTATAATTCTGCATTTGGCCTGCAGGGAGCAACATCTCTCTAGCAATGAACGCACCACGTACTTAGGAGGTACTGCAGGAAATGCATTTAATTGGCTAAGGAATAAGAGGTTTGTTTTTAAAAAATAAATAAATAAATCAGACCAATATATTGCCACTAAGCAATGTCCACCCCTACATACTTTCATACAGAGGTGTTGCCCTTTTCCTATTTACAGTGCTAGGGATAGGAAGCTTTTAACAAATAAACAGTTAGGGATTGTTCCATTGGCTGACAATAACCCAGGCTTGCCTGAGGCATGGAAAGGACAAGGTGATATCTGAAGGAAAGGAATTTGGGATTGGTGAATGTGCATGGAAAAGCAAAGCTGCGGTGTGAATGTCTGTCCCCTGCCAAGCTCATGTGGAAATTTAATGGGCATTGTACCAGTATTAAGAGGTGGGACATTTAAGAGGTAATTGGACCATCAGGGTTCTGAGCAGGCTAATTATTGAGGGAGTGGGTTAGTTACAAAAGGATGAGTTTGGCTCCTCTCTCTTGCCCTCTCTTTGCCCTTCAGCCCTCGGATGATGCAGCAAGAGCAGCAGGAAGGCCCTTGCAAGATGGCAGCACCTTGACATTGGACTTCTCAGCCTCCAAAACCGTGAACTAGTAAGCTTCTGTTCTTTATAAATTACCCAGTCTCAGGTATTTTGTTATAGCAGCACAAAATGGACTAAGACTAGTACTTTTCTTTCTGATTAATGGCTTGCCCAGGAAAAACAAATGCTTTTGAAAAGCTCCAAAAGATCTTTCTCCAAGAGCAATCCATTATTAATTTAATTCTTTAAAAACAAAAGCAAGAATCTTGGTTTTTATAAATCTTCCCCCTCATTTCAAAGTTCATCCGTCATACATATTAGATAAACAAGTACCAGGTTTATGCAGGTTTATATATGTTTAAAGCTTTTACATTTAGACTAAGCCCTTTCAAATGCATTGATTCTGAAGTGCCTCACCCCTGACTCCAGCTAGATTCTGCAAAGGCTGGATGAAGCCATCAAAGTCCACCTGCCCCTGGAGGGGACCATGGAGGTAAGTTTCACCAGGCAGCCCTAAGCAGGTCAGCCAGCCTGAACTTGGCTAGCCTAGCAGCAGACGTACACGTGTTCTCCGAGGCAGCAGTGTTCCTCTTCCCACAGAACAGGCTGGGATTTGCCCTGCAGCCATCTGTCCATCTCTCAGAACATCTTGGTTTTCCAAGCAGTAGAGAATCAGCACCTTTAATAACACCAGTGTCCTAGGGCACCCTGATCCCAGGTAGAGCTCATTTTTGAAAAGGCCAACCGACTCAGGCAGCTTTGGAGGGTGGGCCTGCAAGGAGAAGGGCAGGGCAGACTATGGGGAGGGACACACACTGCAGCCCTCCACTCCCGTGAGGGTGGTCTTCCACGAAAGCTGCAGATTGGTGTTTCAGCTTTGTCTCTAATAACCTGAGCTGACCACTGGCTTCTGGCCTCATCACAGCCCGGGCCCCCATCTGCAGGGTGCATGATCACATTGCCTCACTGGGCGAAGCCTCTTAGGGAAAGGAGGCAGCAAGGCCACTGAAGCTGGGAGGGAGACATCTGTGATCTCTCAGCTGCAGGGATGCTGAATCCCTGACCCCCCAGGAGTAGGTGATGCAGGAGCCAGAGCCACTTTCTTTCACTCCTGACCTCGCAGGCCCCAGCTCCCAGCCAGGGCCCAGGGCCTAGGTGTGTATGCAGGAGGGCCATGGGTAGGATCACATCACCCTCATAGGATGCTGAGGCCGCATGTGGGTGAGCCTACCTGAGGGGGAGGGACAGTAGCAGGAGGCCCCAAAGCCAGGGCCCAGCCTTAGGAATAACAGTATGTGTGCCATAAGCCCAGAGGCTGCTGTCCTATGTCCCTTTCTTCCCTACCCCCCATGTGGTATGAGTGAGGGGCCTCACTGTGTGTCAAAAGCAGACAGGGCCTGGGAAGCCGGGGGAAAGGGAGTGTCAAGGTGGGGCGGTAAGGCCCACCTGGAGGGCCTTACCAGGGGCAGGGTGGCATGAGGATCAGGGGCTGGGTGGCAGAGTGACAGAGAAGTGTGGTGGGCACCAGAGAGGGCTGCAGTCTCCGCCCAGCAGGGCAGCCCCTACCTGTCTACACAGGGTAGACAGACAGCTCCTGCCCTGCCCACCCCCCAACCAACAACACCTCCAGGACCAGCCAGGCCTGGTCTTCACCTCGCCACGACAACCAGGCAGTACCCAGCTTGGGCCTGCAGGGACTGGGCATAGACCCAAGGGTAGGGTTGGGGTGGGGGTGAGTGAGGGTGTGTCCCTGTCCTTTACGGGTGAGGCTGGTCCCCAGGGGCCCCTCATTGGAAAGGAGCCAGGTAGAGTTGGGCCTCCCTCTGCCGCCCCTTCTCAACCTGGGGCCCAGAGGAAAGCTCAGGAGGCAGGGGAAGAGCACCCATCACTTTGCACCCCGGGAAAGCGCTGAGGGGGCTCCGGGCTGGGCGGCCATGAAGTGGTAGACAGATTCCCGGAAGCGCTGGTCCCTGCTGAGCCGTTTGGCCACCTCTTTCAGCTCCTCCATGTTGTTGGCTTCCAGCTGGGAGGTCATGAAGGACTGGGACGGCTTCACTGGGGAGACAGGGCCCACCAAGGTTTGGCTGTCCCCAGCCTTGCTCCCATCCTCCGTGCTGCTGAGCTCCTCCCAGCCCCTCCTACCTGTGGGCTTCCAGGAAGCCGATGCCCTGAGAGTGCCCCCATTTTCCCAAGGACATCAGAGCCAGGCTTGAGGCCACACTGTCCAGCCTCCAAGCTGGGCCAACCCTTCTCACTGCCTGCCCTGCCCTATTCCTGCCTTGTCACCCACAGCCTGCCACCACCCCACGTCATCGGGCCTGCAGACAGCCACACTCACTGTCGTTCCAGGAGGTGCTGGACCGGCGCCGGTGGAAGCGGCAGCTCTTGATGCGGCGAGTGGCCGCCTTGTGGATGTACACCGAGTTCTTCATGATGACCGGCATCTTGGCCTCCAGCTCGGCGTTCCGGATGCACTCCTCAAAGAACCCTGTGGCGGCAGGGCCAGGAAGGGGGCCACGCAATTGCATCCTTCCCCCAGCTCTGGCCCTCCCTTCCCCAGGATCCTGGTGGGGCTGAGTGGGAAACGTGTCAACCTCATCCCTTGAGAGACCAGAGCCACCTGCTGAAGGGTCACCCTTTGCCCCTCAAACCATAATTTGCAGCCATCTCAGGGCAGGTCTGTTGAGAACAGAGTTCTAAGCTTGTGAAAAGGGAAAGAAATTCCAGGCTTTCCACACCCCTGACCCCCACCCAGATCCAGCAGGCAAAATGAAGCAGTGCCAAGGAGACGCTGCAGGCGCGGGTCTGGAGAAGAACCCCCGTCAATATCTATGGGGAGGTGGCTCAGGCTTGGAATCCTAGCACCCTGGGAGGCCAAGGCGGGAGGGTCACTTGTGCTCATGAGTTTGAGGTTGATGATGACACCACAGCATTCTAGCCCAGGGAAGAGAGCAAGACTCTGTCTCAAAAAACCAAAAAACAAAAATCCCTCAAATCTCTATGGGACACCCCATGCACACCAGGCCCTGTTCTGGGCTCTCCAGGGCCTGCCCTGGGCTGGGGCTGAGCTCCAGGGCTGGGGGCCAGGCGGGCGGGCAGAGCTTACTTTTCAGATGGCTGACATCAGCTCGCATCCTCTCCTCCTTCTCCTTATTCCGCACCTTGGAGTTGAGCCCTTGCTCCAGGCTCCGCAAGGCCCCCTCTGCCTCGCGCAGGCGCCTCTCCAGGTCCATGCGGATCTTGACCTCGGCCTGAGGGTGAGCGGAGAGGGAAATGGGGGGGGGGGCAGTCAGGTCCTGGGAGCAGGTGCCATCTACCCCAGAAGCCTTCCCTGGTCACCTTGGTCAATGGGCTTGGATGGAAATTACTACATCCTGCCTCCCTGTCTCACCCCTGAACCAGGTGGCCTGCACTTGCCCCTGCACCCAGCAGGCATCTGTCACCAATGCAGCAGACTCGCTGCTTCCCCTTGTGGTGGCTCCAGCCCCATACCTAGACTTCCGGTTAGATGGGCAGAGATAATTCGGGCAGCTACCAGGTAAAGTGCAGGGATGTGAGGAAGTCTCCAGGTGAGGGGAAGGGCCCTGAGCACCAGCTGCTCCCAGCAGGCCCGGCCGCACCTTGAGATCCCGCTCGGCCTGCTGCTTCTCTGCGGTCAGCTCCTGCAGCGAGTTCTGCAGCACCTGGGACTGGCTCGAGTAGAACTCGCGCTCCTCCTCCAGGGCCCGGGAGCGCTCCTCATTCTCCTTCATCCTGCAGGGACAGAAGAGGCACTTACTCAATGCTCACTGCCAAAAGACGTGGCCAATGGCAGGGCAGCCCCACCTAGAGACCTGGCTGGAGAAGCCGAGCCCCAGGCTTCGTGAGCCCCAAGACTTCCTGTGTCCAGGCACCCAGGGGATGCGAGGATGTTGTGCTCAGTGACGGGAGCCCTCGGCTTAGACTCAGAAGAATGGAGTTCTGGCTCCAGAGCTTGCTACCTCTGTGACCTCAGAAAAGTCACACCACCCCTCTGAGGCTCGGTTTCCTCACATGTAAGAGGGCTGAGAGAACCTGCTCAGCCTGCCACAAAGCACCGTTACAAGGATCCGGTGACCCTGTATGGTTCACACCATTGCAAGAGAAAATCACCAAGCCAGCTTTGGGTAGGGAAGTTGCCTTCCCATTTGCCTGGTGAGGAAAGGGAATCCTAGGCCAAAGGAAGTGAGTGACCTATCTGGCCAGTGCCAGCTAGAACCCAAGAGTCCAGTCGTCCAGTTCGAGGAAGGTTACCAGACCCCGAAGCTGATCATGGATTCGGGGGCTCAGGCTCACCGCTTCTCGGCCAGGAGCTTCTCCTCTAAGAGCTGCTGCATCTTCTCCTCGATCTGCCTGAGGTTGCTATGGAGACCCCCGCTGGGAGGGGGCTGCTCACTCTGACTGGCCAGTGTCTGCAACTGGTTCTCATTCTCTTCCAGCATCTCCAGGGTCTTCTTCTTCTCTATGGAGAGTTCCTGGTATGGCAGAAGGAAAGGAAAAGAAAGAGCCTAATTTAGGTTCTCCATCATGGCTGCCCTCACCCACCTTTCAGTTCCAGGCAGTGATCTAAGTCTCTCTCAATCCTCTGTGACAGCTGAAATGTCTTCATTCCTGAGGTGAAAGGCCAAGGTCTTCCTCACAACCAGGCAAGGTGACTCCTCCATGGAGGGAATCAGAAAGGAGCCCTGTGTGGCTTCCAGTGGAGAAAGCACCTTCTAGAACTGGGTCCCAAGGCCCAGGGGCACCATGACCTCCAGGGGAGGGTGAGGGGATGTACTGGGCTTATGTGAAAAACACCCAATGGAAGCCAGCCCATGAGCAGGCTTAGATGTTCTCCCCATTTATCAGACTGGGATCTTGCACTACACAGGAATCCTAGAGTTGAAAACATTCATGGGAATCACCTTCCACGATGTGAAACACAGAAAGATAAACAAATATGGTACTACGAACAAGGCTCCAGTCGGTCAACGGAGACTAGAAACACTTGCAGCCTTCAAGGCAATTGACATGGGTCACACACCATGTGCCAGGCCCACTTGAGGTGCTGGGCTTGGAGCAACCATTAAGACACAGTCCAGGCTGGGCGTGGTGGCTCATGCCTGTAATCCTAGCACTCTGCGAGGTCGAGGCAGGAGGATCGTTTGAGCTCAGGAATTCGAGACCAGCCTGAGCAAGAGCGAGACCCTGTCTCTACTAAAAAATATAAAAGAAATTACCTGGACAACTAAAAACTATATTTATTTAAAAAAATTATATTGAAACTTTAAAATCTGTACCCCCATAATATGCCAAAATAAAAAAATAAATAAATAAAAAAAATTAAAAAAAAAAACTTAGCCGGGCATGGTGGTGCATGCCTGTAGTCCCAGCTACTTGGGAGGCTGAGGCAGTAGAATTGCTTGAGCCCAGGAGTTTAAGGTTGCTGTGAGCTAGGCTGATGCCACGGCACTCTAGCCCAGGCAAAAAGTGAGACGCTGTCTCAAAAAAAATAAAAAATTATATGAAAAAAAAAAAAAAGACACAGTCCAGTGAAGCTCACAGCTTGGAAAACACACCTAGAGTGTCAAGTCCCACAGCAGATATACAAAATGCATGGGGGCTCAGAGTGCAGAGCAAATACCTGCCTAGGAGAGGTGGGAAGGATGCACTGTCCAGAAGGAATAGTATGGGCAAAGGTATGGACCATGAAAGAGCTTGGCCTCTTCGGGGCACCTGAGCTCAGTGGCTTGGAGCAGGGGTTGGGTCTTTGTGCTGGGTGTAGAGAGATAGCTGAGGGGGAGTAGAATGGGAGGGAGAAGAGGTTGGGGCCAGAGTTCACACTTGCCTGCCATGCTAAGGTGTTTGCACTTTGTCCTTGACACGGCCCCTCCCCCGCTCCCTCAGTGTCTGTAGTATCAGATGGAGGTGACCTGGCAGTTGATTTTCCTTCATGCTCAATTTCACCCAGGAGCAGCCAAGTGAAGAAGCCACAAGAAGGAAGTGGTGGGAGGCCTCACTGCCCACCCTAATCAGTCCTCCATGTAGTATAAAAATATAAGCACTGAGAAGGTGAATGGCCTAAGGCCATGGTCCGGGCACAGGCAAGCTTGAACTTGCCCTTCTGGGTCTGGGAGCAGCCACGTCCTGCTTTAGGCCTCACATATCAGCTGGAGACCCTTTAGGTCAGTGCCCCTTCGTGCTCGTTCTCCCAGCAGATAACTCCCTGGGGAAACACTGTTGGCAAAACCAGTATCACATGGCCCAACCAGCCAGCCCCTCACCTCCAGCGTCTGCTGCAAGGACTCCGTGAGGTGCCTCAGTTCCTTTTTCTCTTGTTCCACACCCTTGAGGCATCTTGCAGTCAGTTCCAGCTCCCTGTTGGGACAAAGGGCTGGGTATGGCAGTGTCTACCTCTCCCAGCCTCCTCTGCACACAGAAATGCTTGGGCTTCACCTCCCTACAGAGCTCAGAGGTGCTCTTGGATGGCCAGTCCCTCTGCATGGCTGGGCTCTGACAGCAGCTGTAGGGGCCTGGGGTTGAAAGGAGATCCTAGCCCCAGCCCAGTGGGGCTGTCGCTTGCTCCAGGTGCACATGCATCTGTCAGGATAAAGCTGGGGCTACCCCAGAGGCAGATGGAAGCACTGGAGAAATAGGGACCCCAGCTGCACCCCACCTTCCTTGGACAGCACCTGCTAGAACCCACATCCACTCTGACATGGGACATGTCTAAGTCCCTGCTCTGGGGTAACATGCTCCTTGTTGCCTTCTTAACGAACCTTGGCCACCTCAGGCTTTTACACTGGTTTCCCCTCATCCTGCTTAGGATGTCTTTCCCTTCTGCCCAATTTTTGAAATCCTACTCACCTTTCAAGGCCCAGCTCAACCTAACATCTATTGGAGCCCACAGGGACTATGTATATATCTTAATTCCTGGAACACAGGAAATGTACACTATGCCTTCTAGCATTTGTTTATATATTATGGCATTAATGCTTCCTGAGTGTGAGTCTGGTTTTCCCAACCTGATCATAAGGTCCTCAAGGAAAGGGATTTATCTTCCATTCTAGTGTCTGGCACAATTCTGGAAGCTGAGTAGGTACTTGGCTATTTAATTGGGAAAATTCTCTGAGTTTTTCCCTCCCCTAAATACGTGTCTAATTGACTCCCTTTTATAAGGTGGTTGCAAGAAAAATTTTATAAGGTGGTTGTCACTGATGATGAGTGGTGATGATGATAATGATCGTGATGACGATTATGGCCACCACTGTCAACACTATTCAGAGAGGTAGCCTCCAAATTCCTGGATAGGCTGCACCAGAATCACCTGGGGTGCTTTTTAAAAAATATAGATCTCTGGGCCCTACTGTCAAGAGATTCTAATTAACTAGATGATACTAACATGCAACTAGATTTGCAAACAATACATGAGACTAAAGGTCCCTAAGGACATCATTAGCCAAGATGTGGAAGGATTGTGCAGGAAAGACACAGAAGGTTTGGGGTCTTGGCCAACAGAACCCCAGGCCAGCTTGCTCCTGTCTGATTCTGGAGCTTTCCTGGAGACAGGAGGGCTTTGCTGCTTGGAGGAATGCCTGTCTGCACTCACCATGCCTCATGCTCCAGTGGGCAGAAATGACTCATTTGTAGGGGATTGGTCTACAGATTCTTCTGGGCACACCCAATGCCTAGAGCATTGGGAATATGGATCCAAACCAAGTCAATTATTATAGCATCTCTTGGGTGGAGGCCTTTCCAGGCCTAACCAGGAAAGTGCGCTCTGCACCTGTTCTAGAGTGCTCTAACCTAGGAGTGCCCCATCTCACTGCCATCCCAGGGCACCATGCTCACCTCTTGATCTGCTCCTGCTCCATTTTCAGCTCCTGCACCACCTCCTCAAATTGCTGCTTCTCAGCCTCCAGAACCTGGTTAAGGCGCTCAAGCTCCTGAAGAGAATCAGAAAGGAAAAGAAAAGTCACAGGCAGCAAAGGGCCCTGAGATCAGGAACCTCCCACTCTAACCTAGGGACCCTCAGGATTTAGCACAGTCTGGGGTATATGCTGGATCAGACTTGGAATTAAGTCCCGAAGGGCCCTGGCCCCACTTGATGACACAGAGTCTCAACAAACCCCAAATCTGTGATGAACTTGGCCCATTTAAAACACATTTAGTGCCGGGCACGGTGGCTCATGCCTGTAATCCTAGCACTCTGGGAAGCCAAAGCGGGCAGATTGCTCAAGGTCAGGAGTTCAAAACCAGCCTGAGCAAGAGTGAGACCCCATCTCTACTAAAAATAGAAAGAAATTAATTGGCCAGTTAAAAATATATAGAAAAAAATAGCCAGGCATGGTGGCGCATGCCTGTAGTCCCAGCTACTCGGGAGGCTGAGGCAGGAAGATTGCCTGAGCCCAAAGCTGGAAGTTGCTGTGAGCTAGGCTGACACCACAGCACTCACTCTAGCCTGGGCAGCAAAATGAGACTCTGTCTCAAAAAAAAAAAAAAAGAAAAGAAAAGAAAAGAAAAGTGAAAACGGTACTTTAAGATGGGAGCCGGCCACTCTCCTCATTTGCTAGCAAATTAATAAATCCCCCTTTCATTCTCCTCAGATCACTTGTTCTCATTCTTGTGATGAGGCCTCGGGGACAAGTGCTGAACTTTCAGTGACAATAACTGCTTTGTTCCTATATGTTTTACACTGTGGGGAGACATTACATCCACATCCACTTTCTTTCTCATCTACCAGCTCCAATTTACACTCTCATTTTCATCTGGGGGCTTTGTTCCCAAGGATAATGGAAACCCCACCAGGGAGAAGTTGCTGTTGACTTTCAAGTGATGAAAAGAAGGAATAAAATATGAGGGAGAGGGAAGAGGCTGCTTTCAAACCCCGTGACCTCCATCCTAAACTTCTTACCCAGAGAGTTGCTATCTCTGTCCCTTCTAGTCATTATTGGCACTTTTGGTGTGGATCACCAGTTACAAACTGCCCTCAGGTCTACCAAATGCCTTCACCAGGACAGCTCACTGGTACTTGATGCTCTTTCTGGCACACACATGGCCACAGTGCATCTGCTTAATGCATCTGTTAAAGCTGGGTGGGCCATGGCTAAGGCCAGTGGAATGTAAGCAGAAACGTGTTACTTCCAGGCAGGCGTCTTTAAGAGACACTGTGTGACATGCTACGTTCCCTTCCCCAGCCATGGCAATGTGTGTCTGTACATGATAAAGCACATAAAGACACAATATAGACATAATTAAAATTTTATTCTTGCAGATACCACCCTACCCCACTGCAATATCATATGCAGACACACGATGTTATTGATAATGATGATAAGCCTATCTATAGCCTCCAATTTGACAAACCTGACCTATCCCCTCTCTCTGGTGGCCCCTGCCTGCTATGGCAGGGCTGTTTAGGGGCCTGGAGAAATTACAAGCTGCAAGCATCCCTGAGTTAGACCCGAAAACCCACAAAGGCACCTGGCTCTTACAGGTCTCGAGGCTTCTGCTGCTTCAAAAATGATCCCCTAAGACCTAGCTGGAGGACACCCCCACACCAACAACCTCAGCTTCTTTCTCCCTGGAAAGTCCTTTTCTCCAACACTTCAGCATGCAAATATTTCCCTTCACTTAATATTACACTGGGATATCTTTTTGTAGTTGAAAACAGGGGAGAGCAAATAATTAAAATCCCACTCCTTCCCTCCCTAGCATTTAAACACCTCACAATGCCAGCAGGTCCCAACTATGACTCAAGAACCAGAAAGTGAAACTAAACAACCTGAAAATAATAAGGCAGAACAATCATTTGGCTTTTTCTATCCCTTCCCTCCCTTGGTGGTCCCAGGCTTACACACTGAGATGCTTCTTCTACCTGAGGCAATAACTATACCTGAGGGGCAGCATTCTTTGCTCTGTGAAAGAGTCAGAGAAACAGGTGCCCATGAATCAGAGCCCTCCAGGGTCAAAGAACTTTAAAAACAATCAGGTCTTCACCAGATGCTTGAGAGCCCTGCTTGTTTTCCTGCCCAGAGATAATCCAAGTTCTGCCCCAATGGCTCTCACAGTAAGGAGACAGCCCCTTTCAACCCTGAACAACCTGCTAAAAAACTTTCCTTTACAGGCTCAACCCTCTCTGCCAGGCTCAGCATTGCTGCTCTCTCTGAAAGCTACAAATACAAAAGCATTGATGAATGATGGAAGATTTTGTTGAAGGCTTTGTGGGGCTCCAATGAGAGGGTTATATCTCATTTATGGAGCAAAATTTTCCTCCAAAACCCCTTAAGGCATCCTGTCCTATCCAAACCTTCTCTCCCTTCAGCAGCTGTCTCATTCCCCTAGCCTTTCTCCATCTCAGCCACACCCTCCCCTGCCCATCTCTTCTGCTATGAAGCCTATGGGTCCCAGGGAGCAAAATAAGAGCCAGTGAACAGCTTTTAGCAAAATAGAAGACTAGCAGAACCAAGGGCAGCAGCCAATACCTGGCCACTCCAAGGTGTTCAAGAACACCTTGGGGGGTGGGGGCAACCCATTTCGACTCCCAGGTTCATCTGAGCCCAAATCTGCCTTCTCCATAACTTCCTTCAGTGGGTCTGACTTCTCCCCCTTGGGACCATAGAACAAGACCAATCTCTCTTTCCCACAGTATTTGAAAGAGCTACTGTGTCCCTAAGTCTCCTTTCCTGTAAGCCAAACAATTCTGTTCACCACAGTTCACAGGACATGATTCCTACTCTTCAAAAAGACTAATTATGTTCTTTTTATCTTTTTTTAAGAGAGACAGAGTCTCACTCTGTTGCCTAGGCTGGAGTGCAGTGGCGCAATCATAGCTCACTGTAACCTCAAAGTCCTAGGCTCAAGCAATCCTCCCACCTCAGTCTCCTGAATAGCTAATAGCTAGGACTACAGGTACTATACTCTTGAAAAGAATGCAGTGACATAGGCTCCTGATGGGGAATACTTAATACAGTAAAGAGTCTTCTGAATTAATTTACAGTTCCATTAAAAACGCCAGTATGATTTTTTCTTATAATTCTATTCATTCATGCTACACACACCAAGTAGAAGACGGAGATTGTCAGAGTGAATCAGAAAACATGATCCAAGTATATGCTGTCTGCAAGACACCCCCTTTTAACATAAATACACAGATGGATTAAAAGTAAAGAGATGGAGAAATATATGCCATGCTAATGCTAATCAAAAGAAAGCAAAAATAACTATATTAATTTCAGACAGAGAAGGCTTCAGAGCAAGGAAAGTTATCAGGGATTAAGAGGAGTATTATATTATGATTAAGGTGTCAATACTTCAAGAAAATATAATCTTTAATGTGCACATGCCTAACAACAGAGCATTAAAATACATGAGGCAAAGACTGATAAACTGCAAGGAGAAATAGATAAATACACCATTATAATTGGAAACTGACACCCATCTATCAGAAATCGATAGATCCAACAGGCAGAAAATCAGTAAGGACATGGGTTGGATTCAATAGCCCCAACAATCAACTGGATATAATTGACACCTGTTATGGACTAAATGTTGGTATTTAATCAAAATGCATATGTTGAAACCCTAACCCTCAGTATGATAGTATTTGGACATAGGGCCTTTGGAAGGTAATTAGGGTTAAATGAGGTCATATGGGCAGGATATTCACGATGAAATTAGTGCCCTTAGAATAAGGGACATCAGAAAGCTTGCTCTTTCTCATTCCCCAGGCATGCGTGATAAGAGAGTATATGAGTACCCAGTGAGATGGCAGCCACCTACAAGCCAGTAGAAGAGACCTCAGAATGAAACCTGCCATGCTGACACCTTGATCTTAGAATTTCCCATCTCCACAATGGTGAAAAATAAATTTCTGTTGTTTAAGTTACTCAGTTGGAGGAGAGGAGACCAAATGAGGAAGAGGAGACGAGACTGGACGAGGATGAGGAGACCAGACAAGACAAGGAAGAGGAGATGAGACCAGATGAGGAAGAGGACACAAGACCAAAGAGGAGATGAGACCAGATGAGGATGAGGCGACCAGACCAGAAGAGGAAGAGGAGACCAGACCGGACGAGGAGGAGGAGACTAGACCAGACGAGGAGATGAGACCAGATGAGGAAGAAGAGACCAGACCAGGCCAGACAAGAAAGAGGAGACCAGACCTTGTGAGGAAGAGGAGATGAAACTGGACGAGAAAGAGACCAGACTGGACGAGGAAGAGGCTGGACCAGATGAGGAAGAGGAGACCAGACTAGATGGTGAAGAGGAGATGAAACCAGAACAGACCAGACAAAGAAGAGGAGATGAGACCAGACAAGGAAGAGACCAGACCGGAAGAGGAAGAGAATGCCAAGTTCTTAATATGCAATATTCGTCAAACCTCATGAACCATCCTATAAGGTAGGTATTGTTCTTAACCTTGTTTACAGATGGGAAACTAAGGCTTAGAGAAGTTATATAATCTGCCCAAGGTAACACCTTAACTCATGAAACTGAGAATCAAAACCAGACCTGACACCAGAGTCTCTGCTCTTAGCCATTATGCAAGTCAGATACCTTCTTTCTGCCTATATGGTTGTTCCCACAGTTTCCTCCAAAGGTGTCCTCAGGCTGGCCCTGGGGCTGAGCCACAGTTGCTGTCCTGGTGATTTCCAACCCCAGGTTTTATTTTTACTGTGGATGTGGGGAGGGGTATGGTCCTGGGCTGGAGGGCAGAAATTGGGCTTCTTGTCCTGTTCTGTCTCTGGACACAAGAGGGTGGACTCCCAGCAGGCATCTCTTGCACCACACCTCATTTGCCCCATCGGTAACATGGGAAGAGTAATCCTACTCCTGGTGCCTGCCAAAATTGCTCTTTTTTGAGATCATATATGGAAGAAATCTGCATAAAGGATTAGCACTTATTAGACTATGTATAGATCTAGCCCCCAACCAAATTTCCAGA